CCGTGCTATGCGATCCTGTGAGTTGTAGTTTTACGGTGTGTTTAGCTTTCCTTGCTATGGAATGTTGGTGCCACCCCAAATTATGGAATTCCAGTATTCCTTAGCAATGAGCCATGGCAGTTGAAGTTCTGTTTGTTTGCACTCATTCTGCAGTGTAGATGCACCCTCTAAGTCAGTGTTTCCCAACCTGGGGGTCGCGAGGGGGTGTCAGAGGGGCCTCCAAAGACCATCGAATACACAGTGTTTTCTGTTGGTCATGAGGGTTCTGTGTGGGAAGTTTGGCCCAATTCTATCATTGGTGGGGTTCAGAATGCTCTTTGATTGTAGGTGAAATATAAATCTCAGCAACTACAACTCCCAAATGTCAAGGTCTGTTTTTCCCAAACTACACCAGTGGGCACATTTGGGCATATTGAGTATTTATGCCAAGCATGGTCCAGATCTATCATTGTTGTGTTATCTGGATGTAGGTGAACTATAATGCCAAAATTCAAGGTCAGTGCCCACCAAACACTTCCAGTATTTTCTGTTGGTCAAGGAAGTTCTGTGTGCCAAGTCTGCTTCAATTCCATGGTTAGTAGAGTTCAGGATGCTCTTTGATTGTGCGTTAACTATAAATCCCAGCAACCACAACTCCCAAATGACAAAATCATCCCTCCCAACCCCACAGTTTTGGGCATATCGGGTATTTGTGCCAATTTGGGTCCAGCGAATGAAAATACATCCTGCATATCAGATATTTACATTACGATTCATAACAATAGCAAAATTACAATTATGAGGTAGCAGCGAAAATAATTTTTTGGTTGGAGGTCACCACAACATGGGGAACTGTATTAAGGAGTGGCGGCATTAGGAAGGTTGAGAACCACCGACATAGATCATAGCTATATCTCTGCATAAAATGTGCAACATATGCTTCAGTGGCTAATTAAACCATGCTCAGTGTAAATATATCTCACAAATCACTGCTTTAAGTCATGACGTTGCACAGAAATGCCAGGATTGTCCAGGCCTTGGCCAAAGTTAGGGTCAAATTGAGTATTGCCCCTTCTTATTGCCTCAGTTGGTCTGCCTATGGTCTTGACCCTTTGGCCTGGTCCTACTGGTGCGTGGGCTCAGCGTGTTCACCGCAGGACAGATCTCAGAGTCTCCAACACTCCCCTTCCTTCCATTGTCTTGTTGAGTTTCCATTGCCCAGTGGAAAGAACACCATGGCAAGGGAATCCAAGAGATAAGGCAAGCAAACAGGGGCCAAAGTTAGCCCTGTGTGCACAAGGGGTGTGTGCAGGGGGGTTGAAGATGTTCCTTCTCAATCCCTTCCACCCACCTGCTGTGCACTTGGAAAGTTTTGTCTGTTTGGAGAAGGAGGAGGAGTTGGAGATGGAGGCGAGGGTATTAGTAAAGGGATCGGTAGAAGGGATCAAGGGGGCAGACATAGGCTGTCGGGTCCAGTTCTGGAGAGTTAAACCCAGCTGCTGATATTCTCCAGGGCCTTTATAAGGCAAGGAAGGATAGGAGTCGAACCCACTACTTGAGGACGGAGACAGAATCGCAGAGACACACAAAAAGACCAGGTATGGAAACAGCCACCTGTCCCTCCATCTCTTTCATCTATCGCTTCTCTTTCATCTCGGTATTTTTCTGTTCTCCCCATAATTGCATTTCTTCCATTTGTTCTCCTCCTTCAACTACTCATTTCTACTTATCTCCATGTATCCCTGCTTGGTTGGTATAATAACCTTTCTATACATGTGCCATCAAGTTTACTTATGGCGACCTGATGAATTTCATAAAGTTTTCCTAGGAGTATTCAGAGTTGGTTTTGCCAGTTCGTTTTTCCTGAAATACAAAGTACAGGGTAAGGTATTTGTTGGTGGTCTCCCGTCTACATATTAACCAGGACAGGCTCTGCTTAGTTTCCAATATCAGGTGGGATCTGGTGTCCTTGGTGTACCCAAGCATTCTTGTTGTCAACTTGAACTATTTCACTAAGTTTTTGGTTTATGCCTTTGTTTTGTATGGTATCTTCTGCACCAATGTTACATTTTGGTTGGCTCTGTCTTCTAGTTATTTGCTTTCAACTCTAACCGTTTGATAGTCTGTCCGTTTAATCTCCTCTGGGCAACATAATACCATCTAATGTATAATTATAATTTACATTACATGTAATATTACTAATAATATTACAATATAATGGTATAGTGCAATATAGTAATATACTGTATAATACTGATATTGTACTAAGCTAATAATAGAATATATTGTATGAAAATATATCTTGTAAGCCACTCTGAGTCCACTTCGGGGTGAGAAGGGCAGCATATAAATGCCGTAAATAAATAATGTCGACTTAATTTCAGTGGCTTTCTTCTTCTTACTTTTAGCTAAGTGGTTCTCAACCTTCCTAATGCCACAACCCCTTAATATAATTCCTCGTGCTGTGGATAACATTATTTTCGTTGCTATTTCATAACTGTAATTTTGCTACTCTTATGAATCGTAATGTAAATATCAGATATGCAGGGTGTATTTTCATTAACTGGACCAAATTTGGCACAAATACCTGATACGCCCAAATTTGAATATTGGTGGGGTTGGGGGAAGGGGTTGATTTTGTCATTTGGGAGTTGTAGTTGTTGGGATTTATAGTTCACCTACAATGAAAAAGCATTCTGAACTCTTTTGATTGAATTGAACCAGTCTTGGCACACAGAACTCCAAACAAAAAATACTGGAAGGGTTTGGTGGGCATTGACCTTGAGTTTGGGCGTTGTAATTCACCTGCATCCAGAGAGCACTGTGGACTCAAACAATGATGGGCCTGGACCAAATTTGGCACGAATACTCAATATGCCCAAATGTGAACACTGGTGGGGTTTGGGGAAAATAGACCTTGGCATTTGGGAGTTATAGTTGCTGGGATTTATAGCTCACCTACAATCAAAGAGCCTCTAGAAACCCACCAATGATAAAATTGGGCCAAACTTCTCACACAGAACCCCCATGACCAACAGAAAATACTGTGTTTTCTGATGGTCTTTGGCCTCCCCTCTGACACCCCCTCACAACCCCCCCCCCCCCAGGGAAACGCTGCATCTAGTTTGTTTTATATCTTTTACTGTCAGCTTAAATATATGCTTGACTCTCTCTATTTGTTGTATCACTTGCTGCTCTAACTATTTAGGGGGTGCTTTCCAAGCACAATTTGACAGTATAATACCTTCTACTGTGCATGTTAACCCATATTTAGATTGCACTTTTTCATCTCTTGTGTGTTTAATATCACCTACTGGCAATTTTTAACTATTTGGTCATTGCTTTCTTTATATCCTCAGCTCAGCATTTCCGCTGCCGGCAAACCACTGTTTGATTGCCGGTCTTTATCTCTTCTGGATCAGTGTAATGTCACTTACTGACGACAATTACTCTTTGGTGGTTCAAACAAGATCTTCTTTGCTGGGAAAAGACTGAGTTAATCCCTTTTCTTATCTGTTTGTCGTGAAGTTCTGGAAGAGTCTGTCGGAGTCTATAAGTCAGATATCCTGGAAAATGAATAGACTTGTGTGAGGTTGTGGCAGTTTTTTTTTAAATGCTTTCGTTATTGTACCAAACTTTTGGACTTTAAAAAATGCAACCCTTTAAAAAAAACTTCATAGAAGACAAATCTTTGAATGCATCTACGCAGCAGAATTAAGGCAGCTTGACTCCACCTTAACTGCAAATCCTGGGATTTGCAGTTTGGTAAGATACCAGAACCCCTCTGCAGATAAGGCAAAAGACCTGATAAAACTACAATTCTGAACATCAAAATGAATCTAGATAGCTACATTTTTGGAATGCTTCTGCTGAGGTTCTTTGAATAAAGGGCTAGATTCAACTCTGTAATTCTATAATTTTATTGGGAATTTAATATTCTTTGTCTAGGTTGCATCTACACTGTAAAACTCCCATGACCAACAGAAAATACTGGAAGGGTTTGGTGGGCATTAACTTTGAGTTTTGGAGTTGTAGTTCCCTACATCCAAAGAGCACTGTGGACTCAAACAATGATGGATCTGGACCAAACTTGGCACAAATACTCTATATGCCCAAATGTGAACTCTGATGGAGTTTGGGGGAATAGACCTTGACATTTGGGAGTTGTAGTTGCTGGGATTTATAGTTCACCTACAATCAAAGAGCATTCTGAACCCCACCAATGATAACATTGGGCAAAACCTCCCACACAGAGCCCCAATGACGACAGAAAATATTGTGTTTCCTGATGGTCTTTGGTGACCTCCCTGACACCTCCTTGCAACCCCCTCAGGGGTCCTGACCCCCAAGTTGAGAAATGCCAAGTTTGGCTCAGTTCCATCATTGGTGGAGTTCAGAATGCTCTTTGATTGTAGGGGAACGATAAATCCCAGCAACTACAACTCCCAAATGACAAAATCAACCCTCACCCCACCAATATTCAAATTTGGGCATATCAGGAATTTGTCCAGTGAATGAAAACAACCCCTGCATGTCAGATATTTACATTACGATCCATAACAGTAGCAAAATGACAGTTATGAAGTAGAAACAAATTTTATGGTTGAGGGTCCCCACAACATGAGGAACTGTATTAACGGGTCATGGTATTATTTATTTATTTATTTATTTATTTACGGGATTTATATGCTGCCCTTCTTACCCTGAAGGGGACTCAGAGCGGCTTAGAAGATACATTAGGAAGGTTGAGAAATAATCCTGTAGAATAAATGTGGTTTGACGTTGCCTCAACTGCCTTGGCTCAATGCTATGGAATCCTGGAAGCTGAAGTCTTTGTGCTGGTGTTTCCCCAAATCTCAGCATCCAGTGTTCCACAGTACTGAGCCATGGTACTGCAATGGTATCAAATGGCATTCATTGTAGGTGTAGATATATCCTTTCTGAACCCAAGAGCAGTTCAGTCACCACTAAGTGAGGCTCAGCTTTTAACTTTGGACTGTCCTTTGTTTATTTCCTAACAGGAGACGAGAACAATCCGAATTAGAACATGGAGGATTCAGAGTCGTACAAAACTGTCTTTTCACTGGGGCCGTTCAAGATCCGGAAGCAACAGAATGAACCCCCAATGGAGCAAGCTAAAGCGGCGCCCCAAATCCCTGCAGATATCATAGCTGCTCCTCAGATGGAGGAAGATGGCTCGGCCCCACCGGATTATGAGACCACCATTGATGCCTGCCCGCGGTATGAATTCTATGCCAACTCAGCACCACCTGGGCGTCGGAAAGTCCGGCCGTCACTGGACATGCTCAGAAATGCAGAACCGGTGAGAAATTAAGGGGTGTCCTTCATTGAAGAATGATGGTCATCCAAATTAGCATTCTGCTGATCAGATTTTTGGGAGTCATTTTATTGAACTATAGCTTTCTTTTCTTGTTATATTGGTTGATAAGCCTGCTCTTGGGTATCTTTGGGGCACTGATTGAGAAAATTGCATTGGTTAGACCACATCTAGTGGCTTAGAGATGGTAATCTTTATTTTCTACGACGAACAGATGAACAGTGGTATATGGCATATGTTCTGTATCTCAAAAACTAGAGCTGACAGGAGAAATCTGATGGTGTTTATGGAATCAGCAGGTCAAATATACCCATAAACAGGGCTAACATTTGAGGCACCCAAATGTTTATTGGCCAGTGTTATCTTTGACCTGCGCTCCAAAGTTCAGTCCTGATCTGAGATGATAACATAAATTGGTTCGGTTATTATTTGCATATTTAATTAATACGGAATATCTAGGCCAGCATCCACCCCAGAGTTGCACTGGAGGATAACATCAGACTGACTTGTGAAATGCTTTCTGATGTTAAACTGGAAAAACCCTTAAAAGTCCAAAAACATAATAGCAAGATGATGAGTCAACCTTTTTTAATGCTAGTTGTCTTCATGCAGAGGTGACGGGCTTACTTTTGCAGTCAGTCCTTCATGTTTGTGGGGGTTTGGATATCAGCAAATATTTGTGGAAAAACATATAAAAAACAGAATTTCTTTACCTGAGGGGTATCACTATTTATTATTTCTTTAGTGGTTCCCAAACTTTTTTTGAACAGTGACTACTTTGACCAGGGACCACTTTGACCAGGGACCACTTTGACCAGGGACCACTTGACCAGGGACTACTTTGACCAGGGACCACTTGACCAGGGGCCACTTTGACCAGGGATCACTTTGATCAGGGACCACTTCACCATGGACCACTTTGACCAGGGACCACTTGACCAGGGGCTACTTTGACCAGGGACCACTTTGACGAGGGACCACTTTGACAAGGGGCCACTTGACCAGGGATCACTTTGACCAGGGGCCACTTTGACCTGGGACCACTTCACCATGGACCACTTAGACCAAGGACCACTAGCAATTTCTGAGTTTTCCAATCTTCTGCGGTCAACTTTTGCCACATTGTGAGAAATTTCATATATTCCCCCAATTGTCAGAAGCGTATTTAGCCTTTCCTTTCCTCCCTGTTTTGTTTACTCAGACATCTCATGATTCCAGTACCAAGGATGGGGAAGACAAAGATGTGGAAGCTGACGAAGAACCAGAAATAGAACCTGTTCGTTTTGGTTGGGTGACCGGAGTCATGGTAAAGTCGGCAAATGAAAAGAATGAATACATTAGAACCAGGAGGATCAAAATGAGCCCTCTAGTTGTGGAGATAATTGGGAATAAAGGCAGGTTGTCTCCGCACTACAAAATCTTAGCAGTTCAACACCATATTAACAACATTGGCTCAATGCTATGAGAGTCTTGGATTAGTAGATATTTGCCTGTTAGAGGGCTCTGGTGCCATCGCAAACTATAACTCCCAAGGTGCCATAGGATGGATCTGTGTCAGTTAAAATGCTGTCAAACTGTTATAATTCTGCCATATGGGCGGCAACGGAGTTGTCTCCTCCCATTATGATGTAATCTACCAACATAAGGACAGATGTGCCCAGGTTCTCAATTTTACGTTCTTTTGTTTCCAAAGATTCGGTGCATGTTGAACATTTGGGGCGTGATCCTTTACCTCCGTTTGCCATGGATAACTGCTCAGGCTGGGATTGGTAAGAGTATTTTCCGATATAAGGAGGTTTAGGATTAAAATTTGTGCAAACAAATCATCTTTACAAAATTATAGCACTATAGGAATACATCTCAGTTGACAAATTGACGTGTTCCTCAGTATGACTTGTGTAGCAGCAAGTTTGGTACCAGAAGCCGAAATAACAAGGTCCTACAAAAAAGAATATAGTTAGTCCTACACAAAAGAGAAGAACAGTTCAATATGTTTTAGCAAACTTTTTATTCGAAATTAACACTATATTCACATGTGAAACAGTTGGGTCAAGTAAACATTGCATAGTTAAACAAAAACATTTTGAACCTTCTGGAGAACTTCTTAAAGGTTTCCTTCAAAGATGAAACATATTCATCACGAGATTCTGGAGAGCAAATAGAGAATTTTGGGTACTTTGGAAGAGAAATTTAAGGCAGTTTTTTAAAATAAAAAATGGGTTCAAAGAGAAGAAGTAGAACATGATTCATCTGGTGATGTTTCCTCCAACCCATGGATTTCTCTTTATTTCCTCAGGGTTAACTTGGTTGATCATTTTAATGTCCTCCGTCGTGACCAGCATCACTGGGCTCTCCATTTCAGCCATCTCCACCAATGGCAAAGTCAAAGCGGGTAAGCAAATTTCCAAGAAACCCAAATTTTTGGCACAATTTTGCAAATTCATGAAGTCCCTATCCAACTTTTTAATTACTCTGTAGAAGTCTAGTGATTGGAGCGCTGCATTTTGATGACCTGTTTTAGGGACAAGATTGGATAAAATTGAATGGTCCTGTTCAACATCTTTATTAATGACTTAGACGAAGGGCTAGAAGGCATGACCATCAAGTTTGCAGATGACACCAAATTGGGAGGGAGAGCCAATAATCCAGAAGACAGGAGCAGAATTCAAAATAATCTTAACAAATTGGTCAAAACTAACAAAATGAAGTTCAACAAGGACAAATACAAGATACTTCACAGGCAGAAAAAAGGAAATGCAAAGATACAGAATGGGAGGGCGCCTGGCTCAATAGCAGAACGTGGGAAAAAGATCTCGGGGAGTCCTCTTGGGGAGGAAGATGAACATGAGCCAACAATGTATTGCGGGTTTGAAGAACAAGCCCTATGAGGAGCGGCTTAAAGAGCTGGGCATGTTTAGCCTGCAGAACAGAAGGCTGAGAAGAGACGTGATGAGGGCCATGTATAAATATGTGAGGGGAAGTCATAGGGAGGAGGGAGCGAACTTGTTTTCTGCTGCCCCGGAGACTACGATGCAAAAGAATGGCTTCAAACTATAGGAAAAGAGATTCCACCTGAACATTAGGAAGAACTTCCTAACTATGAGAGCTGTTCAGCAGTGGAACTCTTTGCTCCAGAGTGTAGTGGAGGCTCCTTTGGAAGCTTTTAAACAGAGGCTGGACGGCCATCGGGGGAGCTTTGAATGCAATTTTCTTGCTTCTTGGCAGGGGGTTGGATTGGATAGCCCACGAGATCTCTTCCAAGTCTAGGATTCTATGAGTCTATGAATGAGAATCACAAAATTTCCAATATAGGAAGCAATTATTTGTAGAGAAAAAAATAAAAACTAAAATCTAAATATAAAATAAAAACAATTTTTAAAAACCTCACTTTCTCATCTGGAAAAAATACATCTCTAGGGACCTGAACTCTGGCAGAAGTTGACCATAAGAAACACAGGATGATCTAAAGATTCTTAGAAAGACCATATTAATTAATTCCATGAATAGTCAAATCTGCGAAAGCTATACACAAATCTGCCAGAGCTACACAAACCCAACAGGATGCATACACTATACCTTTTTAACTTCTGTACCTTTAAAAAACAATTTTAAACTTTTTATTATTTTATACTTGAATTTTTGTCTTAAATTGTATTAATTGTATTATTTTAAACAAATATTATCTGTGAGCTGCCTTGGGTTCTACTTTGATAGAAAACTGGGAATTAAATTCATTAGATAATTAAGTAATGGAGGGGCCAGCCTTGAGCAGCGACTGATGCCTGAATGGCCTCTCTTGCAGGAGGCACCTACTTCCTCATCTCCCGCAGCTTGGGACCAGAACTTGGTGGCTCCATCGGTCTTCTCTTCTCCTTTGCCAACGCTGTCGCAGTGGCTATGCATGTGGTGGGATTCTCAGAAACAGTCAAGGATCTTCTAGTGGTACGTATGGTGCAACCTGATCCCATCCTAGTTTTCCCTGACCCCAAATCAGGTTCTGTAGATGTTCTTCTTTGTCCAGTTTTTGGCTTATCCAGAATGGAGATAACTCTTTGGAAGTACTGAGACTTTCCAGTTCTTTTTGTTTTGGTTTTAACCATGTATTTGTGGTTTTGCATCCAAATTCTTTCCTGAAGTATTTCAAGTTTTCCCAACTCTGTTGTGTCCTTCTTCTCTTTCCACCAGTCATGGGTCATATCTATGTAGAGTGCGTGTACACTAGTCATGGGCAAATTTTGGCCCTCCAGGTGTTTTGGCCTTCAACTCCCACAATTCCTAATAGCTGGTAGGCGGTTAGGAATTGTGGGAGTTGTAATCCAAAACACCTGGAGGGCCAAAGTTTGCCCATGCCTAGTCTACACTGTAGGGTTAGTTTGAGACCACCTTAATTGCCATGGCTCAGTGTCATGGAATTGTGGGAATTATGGTTTGGTAAAGCACCAGTCCTCTTTGACAGAGGAGGCTAAAGATCTTATAAAACTACAACTCCTTTGATTCTATAGCATTCTGCCATGGCAAGCTTTCAGGAATTCTTTTTTGCCAATTTCCACTGAGTAGTTCTGAATTATTACTCCCAAGTTATAGTCAAAATCTTCAAGCGCAATATTTCACTAGGTTTTTTTTTTTCATCATGTCAGAAGTGACTTGAGAAACTGCAAGTTGCTTCTGGTGTGAGAGAATTGGCTGTCTGCAGAGAAGTTGCCCAGGGGACATCCAGATATGGGAGACTTCTCTCATGTCCCCGCATGGGAAGCTGGAGCTGCCAGATGGCAGCTCACCCCTTCTCACAGATTCAAACTGCCGACCTTCAGGTCAGCAGTTCAGCTGGCACAACGGCTCCTATTACACTAGCTAAGGATTAGGATCATTTTATTTCTAGCATTTTTCTTTCTCTCACTCAGGCTGGAGCTACACTGCCATATAATCCAGTTTCTGAATCCAGATTATCTGCTTTGAACTGGATTGTATGAGTCTACACTGTCATATAATCCAGTTCAAAGCAGATAAACTGGATTCAGACACTGGATTATATGGCAGAATAGATGGGCCCTCAGTCTCTGTTGCATCTAAATCTTGGACACAAACACATTTTTTGGCTAGTCCCAGTATAGCACAAATAGCAAACAATGGAGAGATATATTTCATTTGGATTAATATTTGGTTAATTTGAACTGATCTAGGGAATGGGAATAAAAAGTACTTCCGAGGTAGCATTTCTTTCCATTCTAATTCTCCTGGGCAAGGAACTTGAAGTTGGTGAACCAAGCAAAACACTTCAAGGAAAGGCAGTTTAGTGGATTAATTCAACAGTTGAGTCCTTTCTCACTTCCATTATTATATTTCAACAGGAGACTGATTCAATCATGACTGACCCAGTGAATGACATCCGTATTGTGGGTGTGATCACCGTCACGGGTTTGATGGGCATTGCTTTGGCAGGCATGGAATGGGAGGCGAAGGTAAGAGAAGGAAAACAACAATAGGGTTTGTAGTCATTTTCCAAGGAAGGAATTAAATGAGGTGGTTAAAGCTGAAATATGGGATATCTGGGAACCTTGGGATGCAATAATTGAGTCTTTTTGAAGCACAGCTTTAAATATGTCCTTGTTATGTGCTTTTCCCACCGATGGTGATCCTTAACCGAACCTTTTCCATTGTCTTCTTCTGACTTTGAGAGAGTGAAGTGCATCTATGCCAGGCATGGGCAAATGTTGGCTCTCCAGGTGTTTTGGACTTCAACTCCCACAATTCCTAACTATTCCTTCTTTTTTATTTTTCCAGGCTCAGGTTGTGTTCTTCTTTGTCATCATGGTCTCTTTCGTCAACTACTTCGTTGGGACACTGATCCCAGCCTCGCCGGAGCGGATGGCCAAAGGCTACTTCAGCTATCGTGGTAAGAACTGTAGTCCCCAAACAACATTTCCTCATGGTCTGCGTCTTCCCCACTGTGTTTGGATCGATCACTAGACTGTTTTGCTCCCTTTTTCTTCCTCATAGGTGACATTTTTCTGGAGAACATTGGGCCCGAGTGGAGAGGCGAATCTGGAAGCTTCTTTGGCATGTTCTCCATTTTCTTCCCATCAGCCACAGGGATCTTAGCTGGTGCCAACATCTCAGGAGATCTAAAGGTGTGTGGATGGGACTGTCAATTCTTCTATATGTGACTTCTATATATGAAGTGGAAGGAAATGCCACCTTGTTCTTAGGTTGCGTCTGCATCGTAGAATGGATGCAGTTGGACACAACTTTAAAGCCAATCACTCAACACTATTGAATTGTGGGAGTTGTAGTTTTGTGAGGCATCAGCACTACATGGCAGAGAAGGCTACAGACCTTGTAAAACTACAGAATCCATGATTTATTGGCACTCCATTAATGCAACAGAGGAGAGAGAAGGAGAGGAAATGTGCCCTTTCCAGTAAGGTTGAGCAAAAGCAGACTTCATATTTCACAGAGCTTCAGGTTCTCAATGTCATTTGATTACCATGTTATATAAGGGATGCCACTGCATATAACAGGACTTGAGCATCTATGGATTTTGGTATCTACAGGGCATCCTGAAACAAACTCTTGAAGATCTCAAAGGCCCACTGTATGAATATAGTGTGGCGGAATGAAAATCAGGCGTAGTTAACGTTTCTTTTTGCCAGAGAAAGAAATATGCCATGCAGATTAACAAAAAGTTTACTCTTATATGCAGACCAACATATATACAGTCATGTGAACAGTTGCATTGACTCACACAATGTCTCTGAGAGAAATTCAAATGGTCTTTCTTTAGGAGTCCATGTGGGAGACCTTCTTTCAGAAGCTCTCTGTCTCTGTAAGCTCCTGCACAGCTAACTGTCCAAAAATGTAACTGTTGCCAAAACTCCCAGGCTCAGCTAGCCTCTAGGGTGTGGCCCAACCAATCAGCTTCATGCTTTGCATTTACAGTTAACACACTCACCAATGGATTTTTACATGCCCTAACATATAAATGACTCCCTCTCTTTCTCTTTCTTTCTCCTTTGCAGGACCCAGCAGTGGCCATCCCCCAAGGGACTCTAATGGCCATCTTCCTAACCACATTGACATACCTGGCTATTGCTGCCACCATTGGTAATGAGTCTACAATTTGCAAAATGAATCCATGGAGCAATCCCAGATGTTTAGCCCTACAAGGTGGTCATTTTTCTCTTTTTTTTCCCTAGGTTCCTGTGTGATCCGCGATGCCACCGGCAGCATAAACGACACTCTGGGAGCCGGCAATTTCACCGGTGGGGATTGCGTCGGCTTGGGCTGTAACTACGGGTGGAACTTCACCGAGTGCACCTTGTCTGGAACTTGCGAATATGGGTTGGCCAATGATTACCAGGTAGGAAAAGCCAGGATCCCCTTTCAGTGGGTTTTATGGTGTGGGACAAGGTCATAATGTGAGCGAGAGCATTATGTGAGCTTCGTTGTTTGTTTTTGCCTTGCTTAGCTTGTTCTTATCTCTTTCTGCATCCTGTTTTGATTATTTTATGGTGCAGCTAAATTAATGCGGTTTGACATCACTTTAACGGCCATGGTTTAATGCTATGGAATCATGGGAACTGTAATTTTACCAGGTCTTTAGCTTTCTTTGCCAAGGAATGCTGGTGCCTCAATGAACTACAATTCCCCTGATTCCATAGCATTGAGCCATGGCAGTTAAAGTGGCATCAAACAACATTAAGTCTGCAGTTTAGATATGCTCTTTCTCACCTTATTGTTCATTGGATAAAATAATAGTGGCCTTAAATGCTTCTGAAGGTGAGACCTCTTTCCTTCCTCAAGTTTTATTTCCTTGCTTCTCTCTAGACCATGAGCATGGTGTCAGCATTCAGCCCTCTCATCACAGCTGGGATTTTTGCTGCCACTCTCTCTTCTGCCTTGGCCTGCCTCGTCTCTGCTCCCAAAGTCTTCCAGGTATGTTGGAGAAAGAGATTGAAGAGTAGAATGGGGATGTAAACACAGTCATGACCACTATATTCTACTGTTTTGATCAGGAAAATCCCCAGTTCCCAGCCTCTATTATCATTTCCCCATTGTCCTCGCTATCAACTTTAGCCCCGGCTTGGCTCGACAATAACCTAGCCTGCTTCTTTGGCGTGGTCAAGAAAATGTGGCCAAACAGGACAATAAGGTCCTGGGGAGGTGAAAATAAAGATTCTGGAATTTTTGAGGCAACCAACTTGGGAAAGGGGCTGGGCTTTAGCACAGCTGGTTAGCTGCCAAATGCAGTAAATCTTGCCAACTGAAAAGTTGACAGTTCGAAGCCTGGGTCAGGATGAGCTGCCCTTTCAGTCCAGTTTCTGCCTACCTAGCAGATCGAAAACAGCAATTGTGAGGAGATAAATAAGTACCACTTTAAGCAGGGAAGTATTTAAGGCATCTATAAGGAAATGCCAGGAAATGCTGGTGATTCGATCTATAATAATAATAATAATAATAATAATAATAATAATAATAATAATCTTTATTTATACCCCGCCATCATCTCCCCAGTGGGGACTCGGAGTGGCTTACATGAGGCCAAGCCCGAACAACAAATTACAATAAAATAAAACCAAAACACAACCAAAAACGCAAACAGTAAACAACAACATCATAATAAAACAAAACATGTAAATACATAACAATATAAAATCACAATAGATGCAATCACAATAACAATGGGCAGGCTACATGTAATGATTAAAAGAGAGACTAATTAAAACTAATTAAAACTCAGGCGAGATAAAAAAGAGACAGATTATTTGCGGAGGAGGGCTCATTATAACAGGGCTTGTGGAATCAAGCTTTCCCACAGATGAGGGGGGATGACGACATATACTCCAATGACAGAACGTTGAGACTAAGCAGTAGTGTGGGATTGTATAAGTACTCTCCAAAGGCAGAAGTGTATAAACAAAAGGTCTTCGACAGGGAAGATGGAGCGACAGCACTCCCTAGTGGCTGGAACCAAGCACAGCCTCCAAGATGCTGAAGATGGGAAAGCCTATATATTTGTCTGGCTTGTTGTTATATAATAGTATTGAATGTTTGCTGTATATGTGTTCTGTGATCTGCTCTGAGTCCCCTACAGAGTGAGGACGGAATATAAATAATGTAAATAAATAATAAATAAAAGTGGTTTATATGAAGGGCATCAACTCTGGAGATCAGAATTTGAATCCATGTCCAGCCATGGAACATCACTTTGTTCAAGTCACCCTCATTTAGCCATCCAAGGGCAATGACAAACTCCCACTGAATATGAATAACTCTTGCTAAGAAACCCTCCTTATGGTCACCATAAATGACTTGAAGGTATGCATCCAGAATCTGCCTGATCAATTCCATTGGTTGTCCCCAAATACAATCAGCCTTCCACATTTGTGAGGATCTGGGGAGCAGAACCTCTATAAAAGTGGGAAACATGAATAAAACAAACTTTAAGAAATACCTTTCCAAGAATCTCCAGGTCCTTCTGTGAAACTTAATTGCCAGGATTTGCCAGTGTTGACTAAAGAGGGCCACTGAAGGACCTAGAGATTCTTAGAGTGTCCATATTACTCAAACCTATGAGGAATCAAAGTTAAATTTGCAAATATGGAGGTCTGACACTATTCCACTTTTGTGTGAGGAGAACAAAGAGCTAATATTGTCTTTCAAGATCAAAATATAGCATATAGAATATTTACCAAAACTGGAAGCCACTCTGAGTCCCATCTGCGGTGAGATAGAGCAGGATAGAAATACTGTAAATAAATATATCTAGTCCCAAGGAATATGGAGGAACAGTGGGTTTCGAACTAGGACATCGCCAAGCCATCTTCAAGGCCTGCTGTATTCATCATGCAGAAACAGATATCAACCCAGGCTGACAAGACCTAATACTGGTTCAACTTTTTTCTTGCAGTGTCTCTGCCAGGACAACCTCTATCCTCTCATCGGCTTCTTCGCCAAGGGATACGGAAAGAACCAGGAGCCCTTGAGAGCCTACGCTTTGACTTTCATCCTGGCAGTTGCCTTCATCCTCATTGGTAAGTGAGATTGTTCTTGCTCAAGGGAAGAAGAATGGCAAGTGAGACGAGGGCAAAGGAGTAGGTGAGAAGCAGTATCATACCTCCAACTCAGAGGGACAGGAATTTTTAAATAAATTTAATGACCAAGGACTCAAATTGTGTAAAGGAAGAGAAAATGTACCATGAAACTAAATAAACAAGAAGTGACTACTACTGAAAATAAGTGAGCACATGCATATTGATTGGTACACCCAAGTGAACACCTCCTCCCATCCCTCTTCTGTGTTGGAAGATGGTGCCTCTTAGCGGATTTTCCTCTTCTTTGCCTCCCCAGCTGAGCTGAACACCATTGCACCCATCATCTCCAATTTCTTTTTGTGCTCTTACGCCCTGATCAATTTCAGCTGCTTCCATGCCACCATCACCAAGTCCCCAGGTAAGACAGTGGTGGTGGTATCCTTGAAATAACTGGGGTGGAATGCAGGTAAAAAAGTGTTGGGGCTCTGATGTGAAATTATGGAAAAGATCACAAAGGCCATCTAGTCCATGCAGGAATATACAACTAATGCACCTAAGAATATGTCCATTTAAAGACCTCCAAAGAAAGAGATTGCACCACTTTTCAAGGCAGTCAATTCACTGTTGAATAAGCATAAGCAATGTGTTGTCCAAGGCTTTCATGGACAGAATTACTGGATTGCTGTGATTTTTCTGGGCTGCATGGCCATGTTCCAGAAGCATTCTCTCCTGACATTTCGTCCACATCTACGGCAGGCATCCTCAGAGGTTGTGAGGTCTGTTGGAAACTAGGCAAGTGGGGTTTATATATCTGTGGTATGTCCACAGTGGGAGAAAGGAAAGAGTTCTTTCTCCCACTGTGGACATACCACAGATATATAAAGACTATTGAAGGCAAGTGTGAATGCTGCAATGGATCACCTTGATTAGCATTGGAAAGCCTTGCAGCTTTAAGGCTTGGCTGCTTCCTGCCTGGGGGAATCCTTTGTTGGGAGGTGATTAGCTGGCCCTGATTGTTTCTTGTCTGGAATTCCCCTGTTTTTGAGTGGTGTTCTTTACTTTTCTGATTTTAGAGTATTTTTAAAATACTGGTAGCCAGATTATATTCATTTTCATGGTTTCCTCCTTTCTGTTGAAATTTCCCACATGCTTTTGGAATTCAGTGGCTTCTCTGTGTAGTCTGACATGATGGTTGTTAGAGTGGTCCAGCATTTCTATGTTCTCAAAGGACAAGAGGGATCCTCTCACCTCTGCAGGAGTCTACCGTATACCATGCAGCTGTGGACAAGTCTACATAGGGACCACCAAACGCAGCATTGCCCAAACACAAATCAAGGATGAAAGACTAATTCAATCAGAGAAGTCAGCCTTAGCAGAGCATTTGATGAACCAACCTGGACACAGCATATTATTTGAGAATACAGAAATGCTGGAGTGCTTTGAATGCAATTTTCCTGCTTCTTGGCAGGGGGTTGGACTGGAAAACCCACGAGGTCTCTTCCAACTCTATGATTCTATGATTTTATGGTAGGGTAACATTAAAATATGTTGGCTAATACATTGCACATGGCTTTACATTGGTGCAAATGGGGGCAGATTCCTGATGCTGCAGGGTGCAAAGAAAGGGGAAGGAAGTGTGGTGGAAAGAGTAAACAGTGGAAGTAAACAGACAAGGAATTTGCAATTCTTTTCAGTTACACATTGAGTGCAGCGATCACACTGATAATGAATTTGTCTGGGAAGTTGAAGTGTGGGGTGGGTGAATGGGAAGGTCTTGTTCTCTGAGTAGATTAAATTGAGTAGGATAGACCAGCTTTGAAGCTGCTCAGCAAACTGGATTTACTCAGTTCTGACTGGTGGAAGGATTACTAGATCAGGTTTGAAGATGGCTTAGATTTTGTCGAGGGCAAAGTTCAGCCCCAAATGTTTGGCTTTGTATGTCCCCTTTTACTTTCAGAAGCCGTATTGTCATCAGCTTTAGATCATGTCTCCGCTCCCTTGTTGTGTGCCTTCTGTCTGTCTGTATTATGGCAACTCAAAGGCACGTGGTTTTCTTGGTAGGATTTGTTCAGAAGGGGTTTGCCATCCTTTCGCTCTGATCCTGAGTGAGAGTCAACCAAGGATAGGATAAAAAAGGGCAGTGGTTCTCAACCTTCCTAATGCCACGACCCCTTAATACAGTTCCTCATGTTGTGGTGACCCCCAACCATAAAATTATTTTCATTGCTTCTTCATAGCTGTAATTTGGCTACTGTTTTGAATCGTAATGTAAATATCTGATATGCAGGGTGTATTTTCATTCACTGGACCAAATTTGGCACAAATACCCAATATGCCCAAATTGGATTATTGATGGGGTTGTTAGCGGGGGGGGGGGGGGGGGGGGGGGATTGATTTTGTCACAGAACTACCATGACCAGAAAATACTGGAAGGGTTTGGTGGGTTGTAGTTCACCTACCTCCAGAGAGTACTGTGGAGTCAAACAATGATGGATCTGGACCAAACTTGGCAAAATACTCAATATGCCCAAATGTGAACACTGGTGGAGTTTGGGGAAAATAGACCTTGACATTTGGGAGTTATAGTTGCTGGGATTTATAGTTCACCTACAATCAAAGAGCATTCTGAACCCTACCAACGATAGAATTGAGCCAAATTTCCCACACAGAACCCTCACAGAGAACGAAAAATACTGTACTTTCTTTGGTGACCTCTCTGAAATCCCCTCACGACCCCCCCCCCCGAGGTCCTGACCCCCAGGTTGAGAAAAGCTGAATTAGGGGTTGTTCTGGGCATTGTGAATACCTGGACGCCTTCAACTCATGCAATGCTCTCTTCTCCTGCGTCCTACCAGGCTGGCGGCCTTCTTTCCGGTACTTCAGCAAGTGGACAGCCCTCTTCGGAGCTATCATCTCTGTGGTCATCATGTTCCTGCTGGCCTGGTGGTCGGCCCTCATCGTCGTTGGAATAATCTTCGTCAGCTTGGCATATGTCACTTACAAGAAACCTGGTGAGGCTGGCTCAGGTTAAATCTGAAAAGCCAAGGATATCTCTTTTGGGTTTTGGGGAGAGTGGAGGCAGATGAGAGAGAAGCCAACCAGAATCCTGTTCAGCGAAGGAGTTGGGGCAACCTTGGAGCACCTCCAGGGCTCTACAGATATGTCTCACTCCAACTCCCATAATCTTCAGTCACCATGTTTTTCTAAAGAGTACAGACATGCCAATCAATCAACAGACTGCATGCATCATTCACTATATGGTTGAGCCTGGTATAAGGAGGTGGGGGGTTTTTTATTGGCCGTTCATTCAAATGCAGTGCCTGGGAGCTTCAATTAGACAGATCAGAGAGCTGATATTTATTTATATGCCACCCTTCTCACCCTGAAGGGGACTCATTATACACACACACACACAATATATATATTATATTATTAGCATAGCACAATATCAGTATTATATATTACTATATTGTATTATACCATTATATTGTAATATTATTGGTAATATTACATGTAATATAAAATATATAATTATAATATTGCATTATTATATTTTATATTGTATTACATTATAATATTATAAATATTATATTAATATTATATTATATTATATTATATTATATTATATTATATTATATTATATTATATTATTAGCATAGCACAGGAGACAAGGTGGCACTGTCTTCCTGGACCCCTCTCTCTTCACTCTGACAAGGATAAATACTTTTTCTGCCACCCTAAAAAACGAGGGAACGTTAGATCAGGGGTGAGCAAATATCAGTGGCAGTGCCCCATTTCCACATATTAATAAAGTTCAAACAAAACTTCAAGTTTTGCTTTAGCTTCATTCCTAGCTAATTTTCAACCTTTCCCCCCCATCCATTTTGAGTGAGCTTTTGGGTATGAATGAACCCCAAATATTACATTTTGGTGTGGTTTCTTCAGCACTTGAACAAAATTGGAAAATTGTATGTATGTATATTTGTATGTATGTATTTATATACCACTTTTCTCTCCCCCAAGGAGGACTCAAAGCGGTTCACAACAAAGTAAATGGCAAAGTATTAAACGCAGCATATAACTAAAATAGCATATAATAATAGATTAAAATAAGTGAACTATAAAACATTAACTATAAACAACATAACATTGGACACTGCGCCAATCTCAAAGTTATCTTGGCTGCTTCATCTCTAAAATAGCATATAATAATAGATTAAAATCAGTGAACTATAAAACATCAACTATAAACAACATAACATAAAACATCGGACATTGCGCCAATCCCAAAGTTATCTTGGCTGCTTCTTCTCACTCTCCAAATGCTTGCTTTAAAAAGCCATGTTTTGAGTAGTTTCCTGAATGTCAGGAGAGAGGAGGCCAATCTGATCTTGCTGGGGAATTCCACAGCCAAGGCGTCACCACCAAGGAGGCCCTGTCTCTCGTCACCACCAGTTGTGCCTGCGAAGGCAGTGGGACTGAGAGCAGGACCTCCTCAGTCAATCTTAATGCTCTAGCTGTCTCATAGGGAGATACATTTGGATAGGTAAGCTGGACCACAACCATTTAGGGATTTATGGGCTTTGAATTGTGCCAGTGGAGCTGATTCAATAGAGGGGTTGTATGCTCCCTGTGAATTGCTCCAGTTAGAAACCTGGCTACTGCCTGTTTCTTACCTCTTTTGAAGCCTATGGACTTTAGGGGACCTACAGAAAAGCATCTGGCCAGTACATTTCCCCTGTCCCTCAGCTGAGTGGATAAATATGCCATCTCGCTGTGAGACAGATTTCTGCATGATGAAATCTTTCCTGAAAGTGGGGTGACATTTCCAGGTTTTCATAATCATTATATTTGAATAAGTATTGAAGAGGATGTGGGAAGAATTGAGCTGGACCTGTTTGTGATATATCTCCCCCTCCTTTCCCCCCCAAGAGGTGAACTGGGGATCCTCGGTGCAAGCTGGTTCCTACCAAATGGCCCTTTCGCATGCAATGAGCCTGAGTGATGTGGAAGACCATGTCAAGAACTTCCGGTAAGTTGAACATTATTGTTTATTCAATGGGGTTTCATTGACCCTCTTTGTCTTTTTGGGTGATAAGGAGTGGGTAGATGCAACGCAGTTGTGTTTACTCAAAGGAAAGTCCCCTTGTCTTGAATCCAGCTGCTAATCCCATCTAGACACCATGAATCAACAGGATTTGCATAAGTGTTGACATACTGTGCCACTGAATGGGTTTAGTTAAGATTAGTAATTAGATTTCAGCCACTGGAGCCCCTGGTGGTGCAGTGGGTTAAACCTCTGAGCTGCTAAACTTACTAACTGATATGGCCGCAGGTTTGAATCCAGGGAGTGGTGTGAGCTCCTGCTGTTAGCCCCAGCTTCTATCAACCTAGTTTGAAAACATGCAAATGTGAGTAGATCAATAGATACTGCTCCCCTACTGTTCTATCCTCTTAAAAAATATTCACCCTCTTTCGTTGTAACTTTCAAATAACTCAATAAAAATTATTACAAAAAAAATAGATACTGCTCCGATGGGAAGGTAACAGCGCTCCATGCAGTCATGCTGGCCACATGACCTTGGAGGTGTCTACGGACAACGCCAGCTCTTCAGCTTAGAAATGGAAATGAGCACCATCCCCCAGAGTCGGACATGACTAGACTTAATGTCAGGGGAAAACCTTTACCTTTACCTTACTATGTCCACTGGGGCTTTCTTTTGAGCAAATATATTTAGGGTGACAGCCTGAAATGTAAACTTATTTTTGGTCATTGTATCTCAGTCCTCTTGGTTCACCAATGTCCATTCCTTGTTTGATGATTTTAATGTCAAGCAATGACTGCTGTCAGTGAATGAGGATGAACGGGAAATCACAAACAAAACTTTAGTATTGCTTTCCCCAAATAATCATGTGTTCTATTTCCAAATTGTCAAGTACACCTATATTGTTAAATGTCTTGATGTCAATGGATGTTGGCCCTATCTTAGTATGTTCTTGCCAAAATTCACGCAGAGTAGGTTTGCCATTGTATGGCATTGCAATGAGGATGGGAGAAGGTGACTTGTCCAAGGTTATCCAGTGGGTTTTCCAAGGTCTATACCATTCTCTTGGTGCATTTACAGTATGGAATGAATGCCCTGGCACCCCAATTTAAATGCCATGGCTCCATGCGATTGAGTCCTCCTGGGAGTTATAGTTTCCCATGGTCCATACCCTTTTCTTGATGCCATTACATTAGGGAATGAATGCTTTTGGCTCCCACTTTAAATACCATAGTTCTATGCCATCATGGGAGTTATAGTTTTCTAAGGTCCACACCCTTCTCTGTGGGGCAGCCACAGAGGGAGGGAGGGAGAGACAGAGAGACATAGAGAGAGAGTTCAAGCATCGATGCTTTTCCTCCCTACCAGTTTTCAACAATGAGCAAGGAGAGGGATGGTGGGCAGGGCCAAATCCCTGCAGCGTGAAAGAATACAATGTGATGGAAGATAGGGAAAACATATGTTTCCTTAAAAATCTGAGTCAGACTGAGCTCTTCTCTGCTCTCCTCTGCACACACTTCCTTGCCTAATGTGATGAAGTGGTAAGACTATATTTTCCTGCCTAGCATGCAGTTGGATTGGATAGTCCTTGTGGTCTTTTCCATCTCCATGTGTCTATGATTCTATGGCTTCCTGGTTGATTTGTGAACCTTCCTCTTTCACAGACCTCAATGCCTGGTGCTCTCAGGTCCGCCCAACTTCCGCCCAGCCTTAGTGGACTTTGTTGCCGCCTTCACCAAAACTGTGAGCCTCATGATATGCGGGAATGTAGCAGAGGTGAGTTTTTACCTCTAGATGGGGATTTGTGGGTTTGACGGAGAGGAGCAGAGGAGGGAATCAGGACCATAGGGAAGCTGTCATTTTAACAGATCCCCCATTCTCTATCAACAGCCACACGATTTCTCATGTGCCGAAAACTACAATGAACAACTCCGGTGGCTTAATGCGCGCAAGATCCGCTCATTCTACAACTTTATTACCACTGAGAACTTAAGAGCTGGAGCCACGAGCCTCATGCAGGTATCATAGCTTGAGAGGCAGCTGGTACTTTGGGAGGTGTTCGGTTCTTCCTGGTTGTTGCAGGAGATATTGAGCTCCAGAATTAGGGAATATGTACAATAGAGCCAGAACAGGCATTTTTTCAGACCACGTCTCCCCAAATCCCCAAGCCACTGCTCTAGCTGGAGTTCCTGTATTGCATGTGTGCTTGGAGTAAATTACCTATGTGGCCCCTTCCAACTCTCTACTCATTTCCCCTTGTAGACTTCTCCACCTTTCTCAGCTACAAGCTAAAAGCAACCTCTTCCCACAGGTCTCTGGTCTGGGACGCCTCAAACCCAACACGGTAGTCTTGGGTTACAAACACAACTGGCAAACTGACTCTCCCCAAAACATGGAGAATTATGTGGGCATAATCCAGTAAGTATGCAGACTGGACAAAGAAGCAATAGGAAGGGGCAATGGGGGAACATGATTGTAAATGAGGTTGGTCAGAGATATTGGATGCTTCCATAAATGTGAATTATAGCCACCCAACCTGGTGGAATATATGGGCCAGAATATTATTATACATATGTCAGTTTGTTCATTCATTCATTCATTCATTCATTCATTCATTCATTCATTCATGTCAGGAGCGACTTGAGAAACTGCAAGTTGCTTCTGGTGTGAGATAATTGGCCATCTGCAAGGACATTGCCCAGGGGACTCCCGGATGTTTGATGTTTTACAATCCTTGTGGGAGGCTTCTCTCATGTCCCTGCATGGGGAGCTGGAACTGACAGAGGGAGCTCACCCACGCTCTCCCCAGATTTGAACCTCCGACCTGACGGTCTTCAGTCCTGCCGGAATAAGGGTTTAACCCATTGTGTCACCGGGGTGGTGGGAGGTCCAGTTTCTCTATTGAAGTGGATGAACATTTTGGTCTGGATTCAGTTTAACACCGTGGAAGCAGAACTGTATGTTGTATTTGTGTGCATATTAGGAATGGACAGAATATTCAAAAATATTTGGAAAGTGGTGGAAAACGGGGACCATCGAGAATCAGGAAATTATGATGTTGGAGAATCTTCGTGATATGGGACTTAGATATTCTACACACACACACAAATGCATGGTGGGGTTTTTGTCATAGACAACATTTCAGAGCAGAAGACAGCCTTTTCTGAACTGAGATGCCCTTTTCTGTACAGAAAAGGCATTTTTTTCATACAAAAATCACATTTTTTGCATGGAACAAATCTCAATTAGCAAATAGTTTTCAGTAGGTGTTCAGTTTAATTGGTTTTCTCACAATGGGGAGGATAACAAGCCATGTTAGATGGAAGATCTTTAACTCTTTAGGAGGGTATGAAAGAACATCAAGTCTTGACCCGTTCTCTCCCAATCTCCTTCGCAGTGATTGTTTTGATTTGAGTGTTGGAGTCTGTGTGCTTCGGATGCGTGACGGATTGGACGTTTCCCGGACGGTGAAGGCCCAAGGTGAGCATATCCAGAGATGGCACTGAGTCTAGTCTGTTTCATGAAGAAAATGGGCATGAAGGACATAGTTGAATGATGTCTCTGTCCAATTGTGGGGTACTTGCTTACTTATGAGATCCTTTGTTGTCTGAGTATGATTGCCTTGGTGGTGGATTCATAGATGACTGTAGAACCCTATTCTTGACCCACATGTTCTTCCACAGTGAGGACATCAGTTTCCAAGTGGTCAGGGTTGGCTTGATGCACCTTCCTCTTGGCACATTTCCTCCTTTCACCCTCCATTCGTGTCCCTTCAAATTCCACAGCACTGCTGGTCACAGCTGACCTCCAACTAGAGCGCTCAAGGGCCAGGGCTTCCCAGTTCTCGGTGTCTATGCCACAGTTTTTAAGATTAGCTTTGAGCCCATCTTTAAATCTCTTTTCATGTCCACCAACATTCCGTTTTCCATTCTTGAATTGGGAGTAGAGTAACTGCTTTGTGAGATGGTGATCAGGCATTCGGACAACGTGGCCAGTCCAGCAGAGTTGATGGCGTAGGAGCATTGCTACAATGCTAGTGGTCTTTGCTTCTTCCAGCATGTTGACATTTGCAGGAAGATATTGCAGGAAGACAGGCAATATCTCCTCCTTTCTCCTTCAGGAAGAAGCTTAAATCATGGTTCTAGGGTCAGGCATTTGGGGAGCAGGCTTGATAGCGATCACAATGTTTATGTGAACTGCCAATGGACAGGCTCTGACAAAGTCTTGGGATGCTGAATTGGATTTGATTTGGCTAAATGGTTGTTAATAATGTTTTTAAAATGGATTTTAACAATGGTTTTATTTAATGTGTAATGTTGATATATTTTGTATGAATTCTGTATATGTTGGCATCTAATTGTTGTCATTGTAAGCCACCTGAGTTCCCCTTCGAGGGTTGAGAAGGGCAGGGTACAAATGTTGGAAATAAAATCATAAATGAATACATTGCAGGATTTTATGGAGGCAACGCTGATGGAATTGTTCCAGGAGTTGAGCGTGACGTCTGTAGACAGTCCATGTTTTGCAGGCATATAACAGGGTTGGGAGGACAATAGCTTTGGGGTAGTTGGGCTAGGAGAGGTTACTTAGTTAAGCATGGTAGGTCCATATATTGTGCTATAGATCTATTCCAGGATTTTCTATGTAAAATTATTTTTGCATAACCTTTATTGAACAAATTCTTAGTCTTCTAGCCAAAGCATACTATAGACTTGCACAAGGGGACCTAGTGATGCCTACAGAAGTGTTACTTAGTTAAGTTTGGTAAGTCCACATATTATGCTATAGATCTATTCCAGGATTCTCCATGTAAAATTATTTTTGCATAACCTTTAATGAACAAATTCTTAAGTCTTCTGGCCAAAGCACACTATAGATTTGTACAAGGGGACCTAATGATGCCTACAGAAGTCTTCTCCTAGGTCTCTAATAAGAGTCTATTATCAACCTCTGGCAGAACTTCATTGGAAGTTGGCCATAGAATTGCCCTGAAGGTCCAGAGCAGGCCTGCACAGCCTGTGGTCCTCCAGGTGTTTTGGACTTCAGCTTCCAGAATTCCTGGCCATTGGACAAGCTCGTTAAGGCATCTGGGAGTTGGAAGCCCAAACAGCAGATTGTACAGGCCTGCTCTAGAGAGAACACCTCTCTGGGCATCACTAGGTCTTCCTGCACAATTTTATAGTATCCAAAGCTCTGGAACTATGTTCAACAAGCTTACCTTATTCTTAACTAAGGAGCTGATATAACTTTCACCCCATGTCCACAGGACTGCAGATGCTAAGGGCTTCAGGCATGTGTTATCTAGTGATCATTTCTGCTTTAAAGCCTCTGGCCTTGACTAACTCTTCTCATCTCTCCCCTGTCAGTGAACATGGGCTTTGACGATACAGAAGGAGCCATTGGACGGGAGAGGCAGAGACGTAAGTTGAAGGTACCCTGGAGGGGTCTAGTATAGTGTCATGCCCATTGACCCTGTTCCTGAGCACTGAGAAAGTTCAAGATTTTCATGCCCTTTCCTAGAATCCTCTTTGGGCCAGTTCCCAGAGTCCATGGGAATTAGTTATACTGACTGGGATTTCTGGGAGCTATAGTTCCAAAACAGAGGATCACAGGGTGACAACCATTGCTTTAACAGATTCCCGTCCCTCATTAGACCTCTATAGGGAACCCACAGTCATCTACGGTTTCCTGGAAGAAGCAGAGCCTCCTGCTTCCATCTTTTAGACTTGGTTCCAGCAGAGAACATAGAGTCTCTTCTAGTGAGACTCTATGTCAACTTCCACTGTGGGTTGATCATGACATTGTATTGGAAGAGCAAGGGATTCTTAGAGAGCTGTTCTTTCTTGGAAACTCTAGGTCATTGGTTCTTAACCTGTGGGTTCCCAGATGTTTTGGTCTTTAACTCCCAGAAATCCTAACAGTTGGTAAACTGGCTGGGATTTCTGGGAGTTATAGGCCAAAACACCTGGGGACCCACAGGTTGAGAACCACTGCTCTAGGTTCTCCAGTATTACTCTGGTCACCTTCCAGCAGAAGTTGATCATAGAACCACACTGAAAGAGAGGAACCATGTTAATCAAATCTATGAATAATCACATCCTCAGAAGTTAAACTCTCAAACGTGGTCAGCCACGTATATCTATACTTTTTGTAAGCTTTAAGGGCTTCTGAGGTGAAGACCCAACCTCACAGTAATGAGAAACATTATTGAGTTGAAGACGAACCCCATGAACAGTCCTGTGTATTATTTAATTTATATCTCACCATTCTCCAAATATGGAACTCATCTAAGCAGATATCCTAGTGGCTTTCTGTCTGTTTCCTTAGCAAGGAGTTGAATGGGGTGTGTGCTAGATTTAGATCTAATAATCTTCCAAAATTATTATTAAAAGGCAATCTTATGAGCAGGCTGCATGGTGACTCTGCATAAACTCCCTGCTTACCTCTTGCTCACAGGTGAAACTTTCAAAATGGTTGGTGCTGATACACACTTGGAGACATATTTCCAGGGCAACCAGAAGAAGAAAAACATTGACATATATTGGCTCTTCGATGATGGTGGTATGTATCTCTCTATCCAAACTGGGCAACTTTTAGAGGAGGCATCCTCAAACTGCGGCCCTCCAGCTGTTTGGGCCTTCAACTCCCAGAATTCCTGACAATTGAACAAGCTCATTAGGGCTTCTGGAAGTTGGAGGCCCAAACAGCTGGAGGGCCGCAGTTTGAAGATGCCTGTTTTAGAGGAATGGAGGCTTGTAGCCCATTTCTCTGGCGATCAGAGGAAAGATTGGCCTGAACACTGCAACACTGAGAAAAAAAGCATAAAATGATATATAACTATCACTTCTCTTACTAAAGTGAAAAGTAGGCATTGCTGTTAGTGGTCTAGGCAAAGCTATGACATAGATGGAGGTAGGTATATCGCTCCTTATCATGAAATTTGAGCCTTCCATGCCTGGCACTAGGTCACATCTTAGGGTGCATCGGCACTGTAGAATGAATGCAGTTAGATAGACACCACTTCAACTGTCACAGCTCAATGCTATACTCATGGGAATTGTAGCTCTACAATGTCCCTATCCTTCTCTGCCCGAGAAAGTTGGTGTCTCACCAAAATAAACATCCCAGGATTTCTTAGCATCGAACCATGACAGATAAAGTGCTGTCAAACTGTATTAATATCACTGTGCAAATGCACCCTAAGTGGCTATTTGGAAGAGGTCTCGCTCACCCCCAAATGCTATTCCTGTATTACAAAAGGTCTTCCAATTGTTTTGATATTGGAATGGAGAGGCTGCTGGGGGACAACAAGGCAGAAGTGCCTGACTCCATGTTTCTTGTGGGATGCAATGAATCTATCCCCTACAGTTGCCTGCCCACAACCGCCATGCTATTTTTCAATCTGCCTCACTGTCTTTCTTTGCCTGTTCCTACAGGGCTGACCCTTCTCATTCCTTACCTCCTCACTCGTCGAAAACGCTGGAGCCGCTGCAAAGTCCGAGTCTTCCTCAGCAGCCAGATCACCAATGCTGAAGAGCACAGAGAAGAGTAAGGGAGTGGGATTGGGGTGTCTGGACTGAAAAATGAGGCATTAGAGCTTCACCAATTTTATTTTTAATACAGTGAGACCCATAACTGCAGTTTCATTTATCCATATCTGGAAATGTAGTGCCTCTAGGAATTTATTAGGTTCTCCAGGCAATTTTACGTTATACTTCCTGTAGAGCTGCCTTTGTAAAAGTAAAAGTTTGCCTTGACATTAAGTCTAGTAGAGTCGGACTCTAAGGGGTGTTGCTCATCTCCATTTCTAAGCCAAAGAGCTGGCGTTGACCATAGACACCTCCAAGATCACGTGGCAGGCATGAGTGCATGTAACGCTGTTACCTTCATGCCGTAGCAGTACCTATTGATCTACTCACATTTGCATGTTTTCCAACTGCTAGATTGGCAGAAGCTGGGGCTAGCAGCGGGAGCTCACTCCACTCCCCAGTCAGCAAGTTCAGCAGCTCAGAGATTTAACCCGCTGTGCCACTGGGGGTTTCTAGAGTTGCCTTAGAGGACCAAATAAATCCCTAGATAGAATACCTCTCTAAAATCTCTAGGTGCAACTCTGTGGTAAGGTAATTCAGTTGCATCATATCTGTGATTTCACATAACTGCAGACCAGTCAGTGGTCTTACTGTATATTAATTCACCATGCATACTAAAGAGAGGCCCCCTGACACAAACAAGGTTTAGAAGAACTATGCCAGATCCATTTTTTGTGCCATCACCTTAGAGGTGTGTGAAAAGCTGCCCTTGTCAAAATTCCTTGTTCCCAATTTATTAAATCTATGGGAACCATTGTGTCTGAAGCAAATCACCTTGTAATGGTCTTAACGCAAAAGTGGAAATCAGGTGGCTTGGCTTATCTTGTAAAGAGTGTAATGATGGAACTTAGAGTCTTTCATTCCCAACCAAACAGGCAATGGTGAGGAGTGCTGGGAACTCCACTCCCAACAGTGTCTGTAGCATACCCACACCACACCGTTGTAGGGCTTTGAAGCCACTTTCCCTGCTTACAGAATCCTAGTAACCAGAGCAAGACGTCTTACCCTTCCATCTCTTTTTCAGGATTCAGTCTTTGCTGAACAAATTCCGTTTGGGCTTTAATGAGGTTGTGGTGCTGCCTGAAATCATGTGGAGGCCAGAAGAGACGAGGTCAGTACCTGTGGATCCACCTTATCTTCTGGCTCTTCACACTTTTCTCCAGAAATGGTTCCAGAGGTGGATAGTAGGGTTTCCAGGACAGGATTCTCTGGTAGGGACAAGGGAGAGGGCCTTTTCGTAGTTGCTCCCCCTAGAGCAGTGGCTCCGACCTTTAGTCCTCCAGATGTTTTGGACTTCAACTCCCATAATTCCTAACAGCTGGTAAGTTGACTGGGATTTCTGGGAGTTAAAGTCCGAAATACCTGGAGGACCAAAGGTTGGGAACCTCTGCCCTAGACTTACTTACTTACTTAGGCAATCCCTCGTAGTTCGAGGATGATTATCTTCCAGATGTGGTGCCTTGGAGGTGGGTCCGTAGGTGGCTGTGGAGCCCTGTTCTTGATCCGCATGTTCTTCCGCAGTGAAGACATCAGTTTCCAGATGGGAGTGGTCCCGGTCAGCGTTGGCTTGATGTTCCTTCCTCTTGGCACGTTTCTCCCTTTCACCCTCTATTTGTGCTTCTTCAAATTCTGCAGCACTGCTGGTCACAGCTGATTTCCAGTTAGAGCACTCAAGGGCCAGGACTTCCCAACTTTCAGTGTATATGCCACAGTTTTTGAGGTTGGCTTTAAGCCCATCTTTAAACCTCTTTTCCTGTCCACCAACTTTCTTGAGAAGCCCTAGAGCAGTGGTTCTCAACCTGTGGGTCCCCAGGTGTTTTGTGCTACAACTTCCAGAAATCCCAGCCAGTTTGAAGACCAAAACATCTGGGAGCCCACAGGTTGAGAACCACTGCCCTAGAGAGACTAGGATGGCCCCATCCTTGCTCTCTTTCCATCAGCAGATCAAAATATTTTTGTGCCATCAGACTTGTAACAAAATTGGGTTTTTATTTCTTCTAATGCTGTGTGAGTCTGCACACAAAATGTCAGTTTATATAGTCTTTTAATGCCAATTAATTGTGTAACTGTTTAATGTTTAAAGCTCATAAACTGGTAGTTTGTAATCTTATATTTATACTTTTATGAATGCTTTTGTATTGCCTTAAATAAGTTGTCAGCTTTCTTTAGTCCCATTAAAAGAGGAAAGGCAGACTATAAATTTGCCCCTAATTCCAGCAAATGAGAAGGGTTGGCTGTATATGCACACACTTTTCAAGGGAGTGCTCTTGCCTTGAGACCTGCTGACTCTTGTGGTGAGCCATATGGTGTCCATTTCCACTTCAGTCTACTACCTCTCTAGTTAATTTTTCCTCATCCTCTGTACTATTCTAGTCTCACCACATTTTGTATGACTTCTTCCCACCAGTCGCAAAGAATTTGAGGACCTGATTGCCCCGTATCGACTCAATGAGGGCCAGAAAGGTGTGGATACGGTGGAAGAGATGAAGATGGAAGCACCATGGAAGGTCACAGATGAAGATCTCAGAATCTACAAGAAAAAGGTGAGACTTCTGCGGATGCCATTTCCATTGTACAGTGACGGAATGACTAAGTGATTTCTGTGTATTGTCGAAGACTTTCATGGCCGGAATCACTGGGTTGTTCTGTGTTTTCCGGGCTGTATGGCCACTTTCTAGAAGCATTCTCTCCTGACATTTTGCCTGCATCTATGGCAGGCAGCCTCAGAGGTTGTGAGGTCTAACTTCTCATCAACCCCTTAAACTTTTGCAGAAGATTGTGGGATACAATTTTTGCATTGTGGGATAGGGTCACCACATCACAGGTGGTGTTCACCTCCATTTGCATTGAATAGATAGGAGAAATTATATCTCTTGTTCCCTCCTTCCTTAGAAAGTTGAAATTCTTAGTAGTGAGCTGACAACCCTGGCAGAAGTTGAGACTTTAGTAAAAATTCTGAATTGTTGAAAGTACTGTTAACTTTAATTACTTTTAGCAATTTGTCCTCATTACTTTTTATAGCATTTATAGAGTCATAGCCATTGCAATTACTTTCCAAAGTGTTTTGAAATTAATCCACCGAGTTGCTTATTTGCTCCTTTGTTACTCTTTATAAAACAAGTTTTATTTGATGTATTGTCAAAGGCTTTCATGGCCGGAATCACAGGGTTGTTGTATGGCCATGTTCCAGAAGCATTCTCTCCTGACATTTCGCCTGCATCTATGGCAGGCATCCTCGGAGGTAGTGAGATGTGTTGGAAACCCAATTTTCCTAGTTTCCAACAGACCTCACAACTGGGTTGTTGTAGGTTTTTCGGGCTGTATGGCCATGTTCCAGAAGCATTCTCTCCTGACGTTTTGCCTGCATCTATGGCAGGCATCCTCGGAGGTAGTGGTCTGTTGGAAACCCAATTTTCCTAGTTTCCAACAGACTTCACAACTGGGTTGTTGTAGGATTTTTTGGGTTACATGGCATGTTTTAGAAACATTCTCTCCTGACATTTTGCCTGCATCAATGGCAGGCATCCTTGGAGGAAGTGAGGCCTGTTGGAAACCCAATTTTCCTAGTTTCCAACAGACCTCACAACTGGGTTGTTATAGGATTTTCGGGCTGTATGGCCATGTTCCAGAAGCATTCTCTCCTGACGTTTCACCTGCATCTATGGCAGGCATCCTTGGAGGTAGTGAGGTCTGTTGGAAACCCAATTTTCCTAGTTTCCAACAGACCTCACAACTGGGTTCTCTGAGGTTGTCCCACAATCTTCTGAAAATGTTTAAGGGGTTGATGAAACGTTAGACCTCACAACCTCTGAGGATACCTGCCATAGATGCGAGTGAAACGTCAGGAGAGAATGCTTCTAGAACATGGCCACACAGTCTGAAAAAACTACAACCCAATTTTTATTTGTCCTTGTAAAGAATGTGTGCCTTGCATTCTTATGAGGGCTCGATCATCTGCTATCAGCTTAGGGTCCTGGAACCAAAACCCTGAAGATGCTGAGTTATTTCTGAGTGTTGTCTGGGGGTTCAGGTGTGTAATGGGTAAAAGGGAAAGAATGACCATTCACTTTGCGAGTCCCTCATCCTCGTTTTCCAAAATGTCTTTTCCAGTCCGAACAGCACATGCGTCTCCATGAGATTCTGCAGGACCATTCTCGAAATGCAGCCCTCATTGTCATGTGAGTTACTCCATATTTCTTACTAAGGTGGTGGTACAGGATAGGGGTAATTTCTGAATAGCAATCCCTCCAACACACACACACAAATGCACTCCTTCCTTGTAGTACTTCTCCCTTTTGAAATATGTTTGTACAACAAGGTAGATTTTATTTATGTGTTTATCGTATCAGGAGAGAACCAAGCAGACAGTTTCAATGCATTAAGGAAAAGAACGTTTTAAAAACTTGGCATTATATTAAATGTTCTTTGTACAATAGCTGGCCACTTGAAGTGCCTCTGTTGTTGCTGTAAGAAGGTCCTCCATTGTGCATGTGGCAGGGCTGAGGTTGCATTGTAGTAAGTGGTCTGTGGTTTGCTCTTCTCCACACTCTGATGTCGTGGATTCCACTTTGTGGCCCCATTTCTTAAGGTTGGCTCTGCATCTCGTGGTGCCAGTGTAATCTGTTCAGCGCCTTCCAAGTCGCCCAGTTTTCTGTGTGCCCAGGAGGGAGTCTCTCATTTGGTATCAGCCATGGATTGAGCGGCTGGGTTTTAACATGCCACTTTTGGACTCTTGCTTGCTGAGGTGTTTCTGTGAATATCTCTGTAGATGTGAGGAAACCCTGTAGATGTGAGGTCGCCCAGTTTTCTGTGTTGGATTTGCATATTCATACACAATGAAGTATCTTAAAACCTTAAACACAAAATGCATTTGTTTCATAGACACCTTATATACTTACCCTGAAGGTAATTTTACACATTTTTAAAAACTTTTGTGCAAGAAATCAAGTTTGGTACATTAAACTATCAGAAAGCAAAGGTGTCACTATCTCAGCTACCCACAACTTTGGAATTTAGGGTACTTTGGAATTCCAGATAAAGGATCTTCAACCTGTGTATGCAGATGAACCTGGATTTCATATTTTTGCACAGGTGTAATTCTGTGGCCTATATATTAAAGTCTATAACAAGTTTGGGCAAACTTCGACCTTCCAGGTGTTTTGGATTTCAACTCCCACAATTCCTAACAGCCTACCGGCTGTTAGGAATTGTGGGAGTTGAAGTCCAAAACACCTGGAGGGCCGAAATTTGCCCATGCCTGGTGTATAGGGTGAAACAGAGCTTCAGGCCTCCTTAAGAGCACTTTTGGGATTCTGTTATTGCCGGTGCTTCCTAATTCCCCTTTCTGGTTTCCTTTGCCTTCTAGGAGCCTTCCTGTGGTGCGGAAAGGGGCCTGTCCAAGCGCCCTGTACATGGCTTGGCTTGAGACTGTCTCCAAGGGGCTGCATCCACCCGTCGCCTTCATCCGAGGGAACCAGGAAGACGCTCTCACCTTCTACTGCCAGTAAGAAGCAGCAAGACCTCCAAGAAGTACAATGCAAGAGACTACATGGAACATCACTCCTAAGGACAGCCTAGCAGGCTCCTGTGTTGGCCAGATGTCTTCCAGAGACAACCGTGTCTCTGCTACATAAGCCAAAAGACTGCCTTCAACACGCAAGAGAAGGATCCATGTTACCATTCAGTTTTCCTACAGAGTCACATTTCTCTCTCTTTATGTTGCTGGACTAAGACCTACAATGTTGATTTCTCCTGTTTAAGGATAACCACTCCTCTGTAAATATTAAATTTAAATATTGTTATTTAACACCAGTGGTCTGGCACCTGCTTTAAAATCTTCAGCTTCCCTACACAATGGTTGCATCTCACCCTAACATGGCTGCTCATCACATCTTTGCACATATATATGCAGTTCCCGAGTTAGGTTCTGTAAGTTTGTTCTTAAGTTGAATTGGAACCCCAAAGGCCATCCAGACCACCCCCATTCTGGTAGGCAGGAAGACACCATCAAAGCCCTCACAACAGATGGCCATGCAGAACAGGTATTTTTTAAAGTGTAACTTCAACCTTTAAAAAATAGGGAAATGTTAATTTCCTTGTAATGTTTGTTTTGCTGTCTGTGCCACTGTTGAGAAGATGTCACCTCACTTTCTGTTCCTGGGACATCTGGATTTTGAACATTTTGGTTGTTTTGGAAACAAGAACTGGTGATAAAGGTTCAGTGGAGGCATCTTTTCCCCATGATAACTCTTTCAGGAATGAATTCCCCTTCCTAGGAGTGGATTTCCTCTCATGTCCCTTGTGCCAGCAGGACTGCTAACCAAAAGGTCTGCGATTCGAAATTGGGGAGCGTGGTGAGCTCCCGTCTGTCAGCTCCAGCTTCTCATGCGGGGACACAAAAGAAGCCTTCTATAGGATGGTAAAACATCTGGGCATCTCTTGGGCAACATCCTTGCAGATGACCAATTCTCTCACACCAGAAGCGACCAAAACTCTCTTATAGTGCCAAGGTTTATTAAATATGGTTTTCTGTGGGTGAGCATATGGTGACTACTGGATGACATATACTCTGTATCAGAAACTAAAGCTGATGTGGTCTATCCAATGCAATTTTCTGAATCAGCACCTCAAATAACTAAACTGAGTCTAAAGTTGACCAAAAACAGATTCATAACCCTTTTGGGACTAATGTTGGAGAGTGGTCCCTGATTAAAGTGGTCTCTGTTCAAGTGGTCCCTGGTCAAAAAAAGGTTGGGAACCACTGGTGGATTGTTTCCACTCTCTCCGTATGCCTTGATGTTTTGATAACCCTTGGGCCTTTTCTGATGCGCAGGCAAGCCAATCTGCAACACACACACTCTGCTCTTTCAAAACACAAAGTCATCCTCATTCCAGTGGCTTCTCAAGACAGAGACACTACAGCTCTTCTACAAAAAAAGATAAGCTTTACTCCAATCTGATTTTTCGAGTCCAATGAGTCTGTTATTCCTTGTTGTCTATGCTTCTCTCTCCTTTGGGCACCTTAAAGAAAGATAGGCTTCCATGTAGAGAGGAGTCAGTCGCGCCACGTTACCTCCACTTCATCTGTGCGATACCTGCATATTAATAGAAACAGAATTTAAGGTTGCAATCCCATGCTTGCTCAGACACCCGTGAAGCATTCCCACCTCTCTCACAGACACACAGGACATAACAGTTTTCTTGAAGGCACCTGGATATTTGAATAACTGATCACCCCTTAGAACCCCCAGTGGCACAATGGGTTAAACCCTGTAGACCAACAGGTCAGAGGTTTGAATCCAGGGAGAGTGCGGATGAGCTCCCTCTGTCAGCTCCAGCTCCCCATGCAGGGTCATGAGAGAAACCTCTCACAAGGATGGTAAAACATAAATTATCTGGGCATCCCCTGAGCAACATCCTTGCAGGTGGCTGAATTTCTCACACCAGGAGCGACTTGCAGTTTCTCAAGTCACTCTGATACGGAAAAAAAAAAACCCCTTGTTTCACTCAATAAGGTAAAAACAGAATCTAAAGTTTTGAGTGACAACATATTCTTAGCCTTTCCTTTGTTGCTATCTATCTATCTATCTATCTATCTATCTATCTATCTATCTATCTATTTATCTATTTCCATTGATATATGGATCCTGGCTTTGTTTGGAGCAACAAACCATGATTCTCAGTTCAGATGTCCTTTTGGATATTTCCAAAGCTAACACCTCCTAACAAAGGATTCCTCCCAGGCACGAATCAACCAGGCCTTGAAGCTGCAAGACTTTGCAATGCTAATCAAGGTGATTAATTGCAACATTTACACTTGCCTCAAACAGACAAGAGTTCTTTCTCCCACCTTGGACATTATTCCACAGACATATAAACCTCACTTGTCTACTTTCCAACAAACCTCACAACCTCTGAGGATGCTGTGAAGATCCCTTACCTTGCCAGCCAGGGTGGCAGGGCCCAGGAAGAGACAGGCTAGGTAGTTTCAGCTTAGAAGGCCTGGCAGAGAGCTGCTGGAGCCATCTTAGTTTAGGGAAAAGCTCCAGTTCAGAGAGGGGGAGTGGCCTAGGCCTGAGCCAGCCCAGCAACAGCCAGGATTGGTTTGGAAAAGGGGGGCGGAGTTAGTCAGTTGGAGGGAAAGAGAGCAGATTATTTTGACAGTTCAGTTCAGTTCTGAGTGAGGTTAGAGTAGGATTTGGAGTTTTAGGAGTCTCTGTTAGGAATAGGCAGCTTGCCTGTAGTTTGCACAGCAAAGTAAGCTGTGGCAGACTGTGGTACAGCTATTTTAGTAAAGAAAATAGCTGGGTTTTGTGTTTGGAATTGTAACAAAGAATAGAACTACTCTCTCAAGTAACCATTACGCTTCTAAGAACCAAGAACACTTTTATTGTAACAGCCAAGCCTCTGAACCTGCATTCACTTTTATTCTGTAACTTGTATTCAATAAACTCTTTCTTGTTATTTTTAAAATTTAAGCCTGAGTCAAGTGCCATTTTTGGTTGGAGTCCTTTTCCTTGTTGAATCAACCTCTCCTGTTTCCCCTCAAAGAAAGCCCTTGATAATACACAGTATTTGGTGGAGTAAAAAAGCCTTTTAATAATTTAAACAGCCTTTTAACATTCTAAATAGCTAGAGGGTTCGTGATTCTTCAGTTTATGGTGGCAGCGAAGGTTTTAAATAAAGAGACATCCCCTCAAACGCTATAAGAGCCAAAGTGGTGTGAATTCCTTATTGAAGGAGGGACAGTGTTGGGATCTGCTTGCCCCCTGTCCAGTGATATTGTTTGGCCATCAAGAAATTATATCTTTATAATTTGGTGGCAGTAGTGGGATTCTTTGACCCCCCTGCCAGACGGCCAATTAAGGAGTTATTATAATTGCTGGCAGCGGTGGGATTTGTTTGTCCACTCTGCCTTGATAAGCCTCTAAGTCCTTATAGATGCCTGTCATAGATGTGGACGAAATGTCAGGAGGGAATGCTTCTGGAACATAGCCATGCAGGCCGGAAAACTCACAGAACCCAATGCAACTATAATTTCCTTCATCAGCCTTGATTTAAGTTCACAATTCACAAAGGAATAGCAAGGGGTGACACCCACATATATACATCAATTGTTTCAAAGAGATAACTCCCCCACCATAATTTTGGCTTTGCATGGAAAACATGGCATCAGTACCTCTGTGTAATCCATGAATCTTCAAGCGAAGTGATTTGCCCCGATCGAAACATCTCCCAACCAGCCTGAGCAATCATGGCTCCATTGTCAATACAGAACCTAGAAATTAAAAAATGGGGGAATAAAATAGTGAGATGAAACAGAAATATTACCACATTATCTCCACTTCAGACAGCAGATGCTGAATCCTCTCCTTCAAGCTTTGAATTTCCTGTTCTTTACATATAATACATATGCCAAACAGGAGGACTTAAAAGGCTACAAAAGTACCAGCGATCCTCAGTCTTCCTAATTTGCACAATGGAGCAATGGCACAGTGGGTTAAAACCCTTGTACCGGCAGAACTGCCGACCAAAAGGTTAAACCTTTGTACCGGCAGGACTGCCGACCGAGAGCGGGGTGAGCTCCCATCTGTCAGCTCCAGCTTCTCACGTGGGGATATGAAAAAAGCCTCCCACAGGATGGTAAAACATACAACATCTGGGTTTCCCCTGGGCAATGTCCTTGCAGCTAGCCAATTATCTCACCTCAGAAGCAACTTGCAGTTTCTCAAGTCACATCTGATATGAAAAAAGTTTGCACAAGTACTTAACATCCCAAGTGTCTAGGACTGTGTGATGTATCGGTGAATAATGCATGCAGATCTCAGTAAGGTGGCCTTCTACAGCTGGCAGATGGTAATTTTGTCAGCTCCGCTTGTGTTTAAGTGCAGGCCAAAGTCTTTAGGCACCGCACCCAGTGTGCCGATCACCACTGGGACCACCTTTATTGGCTTGTGCCAGAGTCTTTGCAGTTCAATCTTTAAATCCTAATATAGTGTGACTCATTTCTGAAACTATTATTATTATTATTATTTTATTATTATACCAGCAAAACTTTGTCTTGATGAAGTCCTAGAAACACAAAATCAAACTTATTATATCAATATCTCATGTATCTGTCCACGGAACTTTAGTCTTTTGTGACAAGAAATCTGTTAGGGTTGATGATGCCCTAAGATTATTCATGGTTGTTATTTTTGTTGCTTCAACATTAGGAAGAACTTCCAAACTGTAATAGCTGTTCAACAGTGGAACTCTCTGCCTCAGAGTCTGGTGGAGGGTCCTTCTTTGGAGGCTTTTAAACAGAGGCTGGATGGCCATCTGTCAGGGGTGCTTTGATTGTGCTTTTTCTGCATGGCAGAATGGGGTTTGGACTAGATGGCCATGTGGTCTCTTCCAACTCTATGATTCAATGAACAGCTATCCCATCAGAAGCTGTGCTAACCATGCTTGAGAATGTGCAGGTTGCTGTGAAATGCTCTTCTCTTTCTACAATCTGGGAGGGTCCTGGGAAAAAAAGTGAAATTGGGTAAATGGAATCTCACCTTTCGTCCGTAGCAAACAGCTTTGCTCCCCTCTCCTGGCACATG